GCCCGCCCAGCCCCTGCCATCGCTCGTGTGCGAATACCACCCAGCAAACTCCAGCCAGCTGCAGAACGGGGATGTGCGGCAGCACCCGCAGCGCTGGGTTTGGGCTGATTAATATTCAGCTCACTGCTGTGCAAATGAAAAGCCAGACAGAACTGTCCTCCTCCCCTCCCTGCGCCCGCGAGGATGCCAAGGGTAATGGCTGAGGCACAGAAACAACAACAAGATTCACTTTCGGTCAAGCTGATACAGCGCTTTTTGAGCCTGCACCAGATGCTCCATTCTCTTTGGGTTGTTTGGCCTCATCTTTTAACCTGCTGCTTCTTTCTTTTTTTTTTTTTTTCATGTTGTCTTCCTGTTATTTAATTAAAGGACTTTTTAAAAAGAGCAGTGGGAGGCTTGCTTTGAAGCTGTCGTAACAGAACAGCAGGCATTTCACCAAACAGTCTCTCGTTAAAAAAGGGAAACGTCGTGACTTTTTGGAAAAAAATTCTGCCCGTGATTTTGTGTCAAAACTCCATTTTGAAAAACCCTTTTACTGTTGGTGGGAAGACTTCCCCTACCCTGTGCTCAGCAGACAGCTCAGCGCAGGCCTGCGGGGAGCAGCGGTGCAGGGGCGATGCTCCAGGGAGTGGGAGGAGGTCCCGGGGCTCGGGGATGGACCAAACTCCCGCAGCCGGGCGCATCCTTGGCATCCTTGCACTCGCCCTCCTGGGCTTCATCTCCAGGAGCTGCTTGCACAGGACAGCGGGGTAGGAGGGGGAAGCGGGGCTGGGGCACGCCCTGGGATCGTGGGGGTCCCGTTCCCAGCCCGGGGGCTGCCCCGCGGGGCACCAGGGACGTGTCTGTCCGTGTCAGACAGCTCCCAGCTCGCTGGCAACACGCGGGGAGCAGGAACGGAGAATGCAAGAACCAGCAGCTCAGGGACAAGGGCAGAATAAATCTGCATAAATACAAATGAGGGAATATTTCTCACATTGGCCACATGCTGTAGCTACTTTAAATTGCGAGAGAGGCAGGGGTCCGGCGGAGATGGGCAGGGCTTGGGCTTGGTCACGGGGCTGCAGCTCCTCGTGGTTCCCCACCTTTCCAACAGATTTATCCATTAAATATTCTTTGCATGTGAGTTGCTCCCGTAGCTGATAGGAGAGATAAATAACAAAACCCTTGCAAATGCAAAAAATCCTTCGTCAGTTTGGAAA